GAAGTGGCAACGCCGCAATGCTGAAAATACTTTAGATCGATAGAACAGGTAAGGAAATGTAAGATGTGAAATTTTCAAGAAAATCCTGCGTTGCTTTTCAGAAACTTCTAACCTATCACCAACCACGAGTCAGGCCATATATTCTCTACATGTTTCAGAGAGTGTAAATAAGAAAAGGTTTACCTGGAACAATTACTCTCCGTTCTTATGTATGTTTTCCAAACAAATGAATAAAATAAAATAATTTCTTAAAAAACCTTTGATGTGACTGTGAAAGGAAATAAATTAGATAATATTCATAAAAATACAAATTTAGTTCCAACAAAGTGCAAGAGTTCAGAAAATCTTAGAAAAATACTTAATGACAAATTCAGCTTACCTCTGACCATTTTCCGTGATTAAAATTTTGTTCCTCTTATATGGTGTTAACAAATAATCATGATCGTTAATATATAGACCATCAAGACTATAGTTGGTGAATAAAACACAAACTCTTCTATTGGGATTATCAGTTAGTACATCATCATGTTTACCATTATTATTAGTCTCATTCTCATTCACTGCTACTATTTTCCATTTACGGTGCCGTCTAGTCTTTGGAGCTAAAATGTATTTCTATGTGATGGAATTTGCCAAAACTGTATGGAAATCGATAATATATTCAAGTAACACTCTATTGTGAGATTTTCACTGATTAGTACAAGAACGCAACACTTGTTTCGCTATACAATAGCTTCCTCAGACGTGTTTATATTGACCCCTGAGGAAGCTATTTGAAACACATGTTGCAGTTTTGTCAACTGAAGTGTTACTTCAATTTGACATTCTTTAATACCATCAATTGAACGTCTGAAAAATTTGGAGTCGATGATTTGTAATGCATCTTGCAGCTTTGATCGATAATGAAGTTGTGATATTTTTATTAATCAATCAATCAATACTTTATTGTCATAAAGAAGTCGGAAGAGTGTAGAAAATTACCTGACTTTTTCTGGTCATGAGAAATTGAACATTGATAGTTGAAATTAGAATTTCCAGTAGAAGAGTATTGTAGTTCACGAACTTCACTTGTCTCTGGGCAACCTGAAAAAAAAAAAGATTTTCAATTCAAAATAATATTGAATGATAACAGTAATAAGTTGATGATGTAAATAGATGAAAAATGTGGGTCTGATAAAAATAATCATGAAAGAGAACTGGACCCTCTGGAACTAGACTAGTCAATCTTATGATGATGCCAGTTTATTTGGTGAAACGCACATCAAGAAGAGTGTTGAGTTCTGGTGTTTTGGAGCAGTGCTTGTTTTGGAATAATAATCACGTTTATTTACATCATGTGAATTTTCAAGTACCACGAATATCTAAATGAACGAAGTGTTGTATGACTGTTTAAAAAAAATGTTGATATATTCAATATTATTTTGAGTTATTTGTGGATTATCTTCAGTATTATCTAAAATATTGAAATTAGGACAAAAAATTGTAAGGTTTTCATAAATATCAATGGAACAATTAAATTGAACTAATATTATAGTTGTTTCATAAATAATGAATGAAATCAATCAACTGGAAATCATGAAGTTTTGTTCACTGAAAGCTGTGAAGTTATTCTGGAATGCACCAAATGCTCCAAACATGGAAAAGGCTCATAAGGTCAATAAAAAAAAACATCGAACAACCTAAGGTCATCGACTCAAGTACCAAAGAATCCTAATAATCAGGAAGCCTTCACTCCAGATCATTTCATCATTGGACCATCCTACACTGTTTTACCGTGAAAAATATTGAACTTTCAGCTAAATCGAAGGCAGCCTAAAATGACCAATTAATTTTAGCAACGATGGAGTAAGGAACATGTGCCTTTTATGAGCAAACGGCACAAAGATCAAGCAAATATCAAAATAAAAGATTTGGTTAATGTCATAGATTCCAACAGCCCAAGGAACATCTGGACCAGAGGAAAAATTACCAAATTGTACAGACTCAAAGACAAGGAAGTGAGAGTGGCAGATGTAATGAACGACACCAAATGGCTATCAACTACTGTGACCAGTTTCAAAACTATGTACACCGGATATCTGAAGAAATAGCCAATAGACAATTTTCGAGTAAATGTTTGAGAGGAACAGTTACTATGGGGAGATATGTTGGGAATTCATTATTACACATTGTATTCAATTGGATTGTGTTTTATTGTTTGTTTTTGTGACATTGTGTGACAATCAGTGTGATTTCAATTTCATACATATACGAGGGTTGCCTTTTATATTTCGGGATTAGAGGACAAAAACAAATATTAATCATTGAAAATCACTTTATTATTTTTCAAAATATTCCCCATGGAGATCTATACACTTTTGCATGCGTTTGAACCAATTGTCGAAACACTTTTGCTGCTCCGATTGAGGTATCTCCAAAACATGCATTCTGAATGCAGCAACCGCTTCTTCAGGTGTCAAAAAAAGTTGACCTCTCAGTTTGTTTTTTAGACTCATCAAATCGATGTTTTGGGTGCTCAAAAATGCAGTTGTTTGAGCCGATGTGTGAGAGCTTGCATTGTCGTTGTGAAGAGTGACCCGTCTTCGTCGGTTGGTTTTCCTGATTTCTTGGAAGACAACTGGCAAACAAATGATTGTGTACCACTCGGTCAAAATTTTTATGCAATATTGAATGTATGCTGGTCCTACTAATGCCTGAGGTTGTCTCATTCTCACGATAGGTCACATGACGATCTTGCAATATCAGTTCGCGCACAGCTACAATGGTTTTCGGAACAACAACTGATTTTGGACGACCTTTACAAAATTCGTCTTGGAGTGAACTAAGACCACGATTGAATTCACCATAGCATCAATAAACACTGGTCCTTGATGGAGCTTCATCACCAAAAATTGAATTAAGTTCATCCATGTACTGTTGCTGAGTTAATCCACGTCGAAAATTTAAAAAAATAACCGCACAAAAATGTTCACGATTTAATTCCATTTTTGGGCCGAGATGGATCTTTTAAGTTACTGTAAACAATACAAATAGCGCGCGTATGTCAAAACGTTCTGAGTACGTATAAGCTCAAAAATGTCCAACTTTACGATAGAGCTGTCATTTGCCAGATTGCAACACTAGTGTTGCCAAATCCCGAAATATAAAAGGCAACCCTCGTAGTTATGTAAAAAAAAATGAAAAATTAATAAACGAGTAAAAAACAAGCATTAAAGAATTCAGGTACGACTGAAACACAGTTCTTCGATAAAATTTGTGTTTGGCCATTTCATGGACAAAACATCTTCATAAGAATATTTTACTTTTTAAAAATGTTCAATATTGATTGACGCCTTTCCAATATTCAAATCCCTAGATAGTTCCTGCAATCTACAGGATGTATATGCAACTATCGATAAAAGAATGACTTGCTGAATACATTCGGGAACTGTAGGTCTAACTTGCTTTGGGACATCCCTCACATCTCCTATTTCTCTATTTTCTTGATATATTTTTCTAACAGTACATGAATTCATGATCTGGGCGCATTTTGTGAAATAATCTGCATACCTCTTATTGAGTTTGCATCATATCTGTTCTTCCGTTAACCAGCTGCAACTATCAAAAGTCAAAACTTGTGAGAGCTAAGGATTAGTGAGGTCTTACCATTTAAAGTGTGATTCCAAAAACGGGTTGGACGATAGGAAGTGAAAACCGATCGTCCAACCTTGCGGTTCGAACCACCGGTTGACACAGTGGTGGATTGAGGCTACCGTCAATGTATATTTAATTATTATTTTTGAGAACAGTAAATAATTCTATGATTGTTTCATTTTGCTAATAATGAATGTATGTCTATAATCGTGGTTTTTTATTGCAGAATCATGAACAAAAATGACCACCCCATAAAAGAAAAAAAAACATTTATACGTTGAATGAAGAATGAAATGTGAATAAATAAATATTTCTCCTAAAAAAGAAAAAGTGTAACATACTGTAAACTACCTTACGTTAAAAATATCTTTGAACATTTCACACAGATATTCAAGAGCTAACATCTTAGATTTTTTTCAAATGAAAATACAATAGAATTTATTCCAAAACAGGCCATACATAGGATAAATTAGTAAATAACTGAAAATTCATGTGTCAGAACACAAGAAATTGAGTACGTGAGTATTCTAGATGTTCAACCATTTCTTTTAAAATGGAATCCCAGTGGAATGATTCACATTTTTATTTTTAATAGGAGAAATAGTACTCACCTGGTACTTGCACATTGGATGATTGATCTGAAGTTTTTTTTAATGCAAATCCCCCTTCAGATTCTTTTAACAATTCACCAGCAACATTTCCTGGTAATTTCTGATTCAACACCAAAGGAAAATTCATATCAATTCGTTTGGCAAGCAACGTTTTCAAATTAATATCTTTCTCCAAACTTTGACTTTCATTTGGAAGGGAAGAGCGTGTACTTTGCAGATTTGTAAAAGCACTTCTGCTCTCACTATGCAAATTGTACTTCAGTTTGAGCTTTTGTAAGTCTTTAAAAGTGAATTTGTTTATATGAACAAACTCTGGTACATCTACATACTGGTTAGTTTCAAATGAATCAACAGAATCAAGCAACCCTTCCAAACTTCCATATGAAGCCGATTCTGAAGCCGTCAGTGTTTCTTCGTCATCCTCAGGAAAATTATTTGATTCAATTTGTTGTATCTCGTGAATAGTTTCCAAAGGTTCTTGTTTTATATGAATAACTCCTTCATGTGGTTCATTCAGATTTTTATCATTGTCTTTAGAAGAATTACAATAAGTTTTCAGCTTTTGAAGGTTTTCAAGAGGTGATGGCTGTATTGTGGATGTTTCTGAAGAAGTTATGGTTTTGTCAGGAGCTTCCTTCGCGGTTCCTTCAACCACTTCTGGAATGGTGCATATACCAGTTATCTGAAACAAATTTTCACCTCTGATTTTTGCCTTTTCTTTTTCAGCCTCAACTTCTTGCTTGTTCAGCGGTTTTCCAAACTCATTGAAGTACTCCCCTTTTGCATTCTTGAATAAACCAGTTTCTTCGCAGATGAAGTTGTCAGGAACCGAAAAAGTCTCCTTAATTTTGAAGAGGTTCTCACCCCTAATCTTTGCCTTCGACTTTTCTGCACAGACGTCATTTTCATTGATTGGTTCTAGAGCGGCATTAAAGTATTTACCTTCTTTGTTCTTGAACAAACCAGTTTCTTCACAAATGATCAATGGTGATGCATTAGGAAAATTTATAGGTTCATTATCACTGTGTTGTTGGGGATTTGTTTGTTTGTAGCTTTCCAAAACTCTACTTTCAGTTTCAACCCCATTATGTTTTTCCTGATCACATTTCTCGTTCCACTGTTGCTCGCCAATGATGCATAATTCTTCATTATTGTTTTTGAATAATACTATTCTGCTGGATTTTCTAGGGTGTTTGATGTTATCTGATATAACTTGATTTGAAATAGTCTGGAAACAAATGAGCATGATTAAATACAATTACTGTGAAATGCACTTAACAAAATGAATGATTTCATCAAGGTTTGGGGTTATTTAATATCTTTCGAAAAACAATAACTTCAGTAATTAATTGTCAATGAACGTATTGAAAAAATCAAGTCAGACAGTAACTTCCTCAGATATGATTAATATTAAACTATATAACTACAAACATGTATTACTTAAACATATCAGTGAATGAATTCATCCATGAAAATCAAAAAATAAAAAGATAAGTACTTTTTGATCATATATATACACATCGGAAAAGTCTACACATACAGAGGTGGTACAGTAATGCTATGGGGCGGAATTATGATCGGCGGCAGAACCGATCTCGTTTTTCCAAATCGCTCCCTCACAGCTCGACAGTACCTCGACACCATTCTTCTACCTATCGTCCGTCCGTTTGCTGGTGCTGTTGGTGAAAACTTCCACCTAATGCAC